ACCAGAAATCCGCTAGGGGTTCTTCCAAACTAAGGCCCCCAGAGATGGAATCTGCCTCCCGGAAAGAGGGAGTTTACCTGGGGCCGACGCCCAGGATGTGGTGGAGAGACAATCTGGGCAGGCTCCTCTTCCCTGCCCTCCCGACGCTGGCCGGGGGCTCCCCACGCTACCAGCCCCGTCTGAGATCCGCGGGGGGGGGGGGGGGATTGTGGGCCGGTCCACAGGTCCCGGGGTGCCCCGCGTCGAGGTAAGCAAATGGCACGTCTCAGTGCGGAGCCGCGCTAAGCAGAGATGGCTGGCCTGCCCTCACTAAGCCGGCCGTCTCCGCCCCCACCCGATAAAATGGAGGCAGCTCTGTTGTGGGCGCCTAGCCTGGTGTGGTAGGCGGGAGCTAGGCGGGCGGGCGGGGAGCAGTCGGGCTTCACCCCACAAGTGGGGATGGGCTGGGGGTGACTCACAGAGCTCACAGAGTTGGTCCGGTCTGGCACATTTCACTCCATTTCTGTGCCGTTTCTGCTGGCTTTCTTGGCCTTTGTTGTCTGGGCTGCTTGCTTGTTCCCGCAGCAGGGCTTGGGTACTCTCAGGAGTCTTCTTTTGTGTTGGCCCTGAAACCTCGAACCTGTTGTTGCTTGTTTGTCATTGTAGGATCGTTGTTGAAAGAATCATTCGTTTTTTGTTGCTCTTGGAAATGCAATTAGTATTCTGGTTTCACACCGCACACTTCTCAGGATCGCGCTGTCTCCTGGCACGGTCGCTCCAGACCCATCGCCATCTTTCCGCAATATCCTTACGTTTTCAATTAATCCCAGAATCCAGATTAATTTCTTCTAGCTTTCTTCAGGGATGCACAATCCAACCCCAGAATCTGAGGAGCAGCCTGACGACCCATGTCCATATTTTTAGATACTTCTAGTTTTATATATCTAATAGATATGAGAAAATAATTATCTTATTTATTTGAGAAAGTCATAAAAATTTGAAATTTTAAGCTCTGAAGTGCATCAGACTGGAGTTGAAGTAAACGAGACATTTTTTTGTTTTTTCTTAAAACACTCCCTTTGCATAGAAATCATCATAATATGTATTTTTCATTCATAGGTACATTAAGTACAAGAGTACTTCAAAAAGTTCATGGAAAAATTGGTATTATCTTTTAATTCTATTTTTCTATGATCTTTTTGAAGTACCCTCATAGTAAAATAGCATGTGTATTTAGAAGTGAGTGGCATGCTAAAATTATGGCAGTTGTTACTCAGAGAATATTACAATTTTCCCACTAGAGTAGACACAGAGAATTTCAATACTTCAGTAATAATCAGATAATTTTAAAAATCTACATATGGATATAATTTAAGTGACTTAAATTTTTCTTATACAATCCAGACATAAGGCAATTCTAATTATTCCTAGTTAATTGCTTCAAATAAGAGTCTTTTTAGGCATTCTGTTTGGTAGTCAGACTTATATTCTTTGAGGTATATTTTCAGACCTAAGGAAGATAAACATTCTACACGTTTTCTTTGAAAATCCACTCTATATTTATGTCTTTGCTATCTTACATTTGCTGTGGAGACATTTTGAGTAGTGGTATAATAAGTGCTTCAGGTTACTTATAAGTAACTTTGCATTTCCATGAAAGGTGAAAGACTGAGTGAAATAATATAAGGACAGTTGAAAGGTGCAACACTTACTTAATTGTCAGGAAAAGAAAGAATGGTGCCTTTTACAATTCTTAGTATACATAGGTGATTCAAAATTAGATAATTTGGCAAATCATTCATGTTATTGTTAATGAAATTCAGTTAAAAATTATTTTTTGGCTGATGTTGTGGTGGGTTGTTTCTTCCCCAGGTACTGGGAGATCGATGGGCAAACATTTGTAGGTGGACAGAAGACCGCTGGGTTCTTTTACAAGATATTCTTCTAAAATGGCAACGTTTTACTGAAGAACAGGTGAGTAATGTGGGAAAAATTGTAGCACCGAAGGATATGGAGAAATGTTAATTCGAAAACAACGACGACAAGAAGATCTATGTTTAGTAATTAATTTTAATTATTTGGAATTCTTTGATTTCTTTCAGTGCCTTTTTAGTGCATGGCTTTCAGAAAAAGAAGATGCAGTTAACAAGATTCACACAACTGGCTTTAAGGATCAAAATGAAATGTTATCAAGTCTTCAAAAACTTGCTGTACGTACTTTTCAATTTCAATAGTCCTTTAAAAACCCAGTAGTATACAGCATCACCATTATTTGATTCTTTCTATTCTATCAGATTTTAAGCCAAATGTTCCTTATTTTTGCTTAGACCGTAGATTATTCAAAGATGTCATACTGTTACTTTTCTTAATTAAAATGAAGAAAGCTATAGGTAGATTTTCAACTTTGTTTTTTCAAACAAAATTGTACTTCTGAAAAAATACCACACACTGCATTAAGACAAGTCAAAATAAAAGGTAACACTAAGAAGTATTTGTGAGTCTTTCATAAAGTTCTAGACAGCATAGTTCTAAACTGATAGGCTAAAGTTGATTCTCAGAATAGCATATGAGAAGTACAAGAGAAGATTATCCTTACAAATAAGGTGTTTAAACATAGTTAGGCAAACAAGGAAAAACAACATTAAAGAAAACCGAATGACATTGATTATAAATGCCTCATGTATTTTGAGAAATAAGACTGCTTTGGCAGTAAAAGGATTCCAGGGAAGGTTTCATTGAGATATTTGATTTCAGTTGGACCTAACAAGATTAAAAAAACAAAACAAAAACAAAAGAAAAACTCTGAAGCTTCTCATACTCTGTGAATTTTATTACTTTTCAGTAAAGAAAAGGGCAATCTCATATTAGGAGCTTAAATTTTCAAATGAAATATTCCATAATAAGGATTTTAAAAAATTTTTAATAGATCAATTCTATAAAATGTTAAATTGATGTTAACTCATAAACCAAAGTCTATTGTAAATAACATTTTATAATTTTACCTAAATGAATCTATTTATATCTATTTTTATATCAGGTGCTGTACTTCATTATAACTGTTAACTTAAACAAATTTTCCCAGCTATTTTAAATGTGTAACATTTTACCATATTTTTTTTGTACCATATTTTTTTTTCTCCATGGTTTCTAACTCTCTTGAACTTTTAATTTTGAATAGATTCACTTATGTATTACTTGTTGTTACAAGCTAGCTTGTTATTGATTAAAAATCATTGGTCAAAAAATATATATTTTCTTAAGTGATGTGACTACTGAAGATGGAGTTCAGCAAAGTAATCTATATATGTATCAAAACATGAGTGCAAACTTATTGGTTATATGTGTAATTTTTTCTGCAGCTAATGGGGAGCCATTGAGAGTTTGATAACAATCATATTTACTTTTTTGTAATACTCTTTGTTAGTAAGACTGGGTAGTGAGGAGACTAACTAGAAGACCTGAATTAAGTAGCATTGGGTACAAAGTTGAGGAGAGAGACATGAGAAATGTTGAGATGGAATGAACAAAACTTATGGTAAGAGACAAAAGTTTGGTATGGTTCCTGGACTTCCCAATTGGATGACTGAATTCCTGGGAGGGCTAGTAGCCCTGATAGGAGAATAGAAGAGGAATTGCTGGAGTGAAAAAAAAGACAATTATTTCAGATCTGAATATGTTGAGTCTACAATGTGACACATCCAAGTGAAAAAGTCCATTCCATTAGTCAGATGAAATATACTTACTAGAATCTCAGAAAAGGGTTCATGACTGGTCATCAATTCAGAAACAGTGAAGATTCTACAGAGAGATTGTGTAGAGTGACACAATAAATAAAAGGGACAGAATTCAAAGGCAACATCTACAATCAAGGGGTGGACAGAGGACAAAAATCACACAAAAAGAGATGGAACAGATGTGGTTCAAGAATACAAGGAGAAGGAAGAAAGTGATATCACAAAAGTGAGGAAAATGAATATTTTTAAAAGTCAGAGAATGGTAAAAACTGTCACATGCTACAGAGAGAAAAGGATAGATCAGGATAGATTTTATATCTAGATGAATGGATGCATGGACCACATATCCTTGAAGTAGAAATTCCTAGCAAATATTGTTCTTCTCAGGCAAAATATGGATCCTTTCAGTCTATATATATATGTTGGTGATCACTGATTATCAAAGTATAGTCATGCTCTCTGATTAACTGCCAAGCCATATTGCTGGTTAAATGCAGAACCATATGCTTCAATAGTCAATCATAATGAGAATAGCATGAACCCATTAGAATGTAAGCTCCTTGAGTGTAGGCATTCTGCCTCTCTGTTTACCATCATGTCCTTAGTATTTAGGAAGGTGATTCACATAGATTAAACAATTCAATAAATAATTTGTATAGAACCTATCCAGGAATCCTGATCTTCACCAGAAAGAGAGCTTAGGAAATATGCAATGGGCAGAACTTACAAAAGGCAAGACAGTTGTTTTTCCAGTTACAACTACTGTGTAATAAATAACTTCAAATTTTGTAGCTTAAGATGACATTTTTATTATGCTCATGGATTTTGTGAATCAGTAGTTCAGCAGAGATGGAGAGGGGATGGCTCCTCTCCTCTGCTTCACAATGTCTGGACTCTCAACTGGAAAGTATAGATGGCTGGGGTCTGGAATCATCTGAAAGTGGTCATTCCCTCATACCATCTGGCACCTGGGTTGGAATACCTTGAAGTTTGGAGCAGCAGAGCACATCACCTTCCCTTGGCCTTTTTGTGCTGTTTGTCTTCACCACAGCATAGTGGCCTAAGGTTAGTCAGAATTCTTACACGCAGGCTAAGAACTTGAAGTGTGAGTGTTTCAGTCAACAAGACTTAGCTTCAAACTTCATGTAACATCATTGCTCCCATACTATGTTGGTTGAAATGGTCAGATTTAAGGGAAAGAAATTAGACTTCATCTTTTCATAGAAAAGCATCAATGTCAAATTATAGCAGAGCATCTAAGACAGGAGATTGTTTTACAGCCATCTTTGGAAAATACCATATGCGAGAGTATTACAAAGTTATTTTGCGTAATAACAAGTTTCAAATTTCATTACTTAGTGCAAGTTATTATGTATATCGTAATTGAATTTGCCAATCAATAACGTTGTTTTTGGGAAGCTACAGATTAACAAAATCCAAAAACATTAAAGCTAGATAGGATCTTATATATCATTTAGTGTATTCCCATTGTAATTACATACCTAAAGTTCCTTGGGATCAGCTATTCAGGTTATTTCAGAAGAGGAAATTGAGGTTCAGAAAAAACACTCAACATAAGATGTCTTATAACGTTAATAGATTAATAGCAGAGTTAATATGAACACTAAGATGTCCAGACTCAAGTCCAGGCCTTTCAAACTATTTCATAAGTTCTCATATCATTTGACTCCTTGGGGGACAGGGGGGGGGACTGCATTTGAGGACTGTCATTGCTAAAATCATGTGCCACTATGTTGACATTTTTGTGAGTAAAAGACTTTGCTAGCCTCAGGGCCATGAAAATCCTCTCTTAGCAAAGTCTCAATGATTTTTCAGTATGATTAAAATTCATATTATGTCACCTTACTCTTGAACAAAGTGAAAATATGTTAGGTATAAGTCTTACCATTTGATAGTTTAAGCCAATTAACAAAACCTGACAGCTGGTCTAGAATTTGAGGTAAAATTCCCCTGCTGACTCAGGCAGTGAATAAGAATTTAATGTTCATTAAAATATGTCACAATCTGAGACCCAAAACAGGTACCATCTGTCACCAATTTCTACTACATACCTAGGTATAGATACAGTGTTCTAAAACTCTCTTTTATTTACAATCAGTGTAATTTCTTTTGAAATACTATCACTAATAACCCATGGGATTGTCTCCTACTTCTCATTGGGAGTGGGAGGTAGGGAGTCTGGTATTTCATTTCCTATGGATTTCACAGATCTAGAGCATGTAGGTCTATTATTTTTTTGTGATCGAAAACGAATTGTTATCTGGTGTAAAGGATAAAAATTGAAGGAGAAAAGAAGCTTGTGTCCTTTATGAGGTGAATTCTAAGACTTGTAGAATCATGTAAGTTATCATGGGAAGGCCCTTGCCTAGAAGAAATTTGTTACTGGAAAAGTGTGCTGCTGCTGTGGGGGCTGTTGATGTTTTCCAGGGAAGGACAATGCTGAGGAAGCACGGTGATCCAAGAGGCTATGGTATCGAATGACAGGAATGAAGGAAACTCAGCAAGTTTCTATTGATAATGCTGTTTTTCTGTGTCTTGTTACCTTGACTTCAATTCCTGTGATGGCCCTCAAAGAATTCATCCAGATAGAATCAGTGGTTCTTAAAGTGTGGTTCCTAGGCCAGAAGCATCAGCATCACCTCAAAACTTGTTAGAAATGCAAATTCTTAGGCCCTCCCCAGGCCTACTGGCCTAGAAACTCTAAAGATGGAGCCCAGCAATTTGCATTTTAACAAGCTTCCAGGTTATTGTAATGTTTCCACAAGTTGAGAACCCCTGCAATAGATCAATCTACCTAAGTACAATTGGTAATTAAAACAAATTGAAGTACTTCTTATATGGAAATAAGTAACTACAAATAGGTACAGAATTAAAATTTTCCAGTATAAAAGAAATTGTCATGGCATTACTTTCTGAGGCATAATCCTGACAAGAATAGGGTGAAGGTTTCTTGGGACTTGTGTTAATATACATTCTTTTTTCATTTCAAATCATCTTCTAATCTTGACCAGGTAGAATTTGTCTACTCTGTCTTCTTGAACAGCATATCTGTCTCTTCCCCATATCTACTACTGACCCAATCTGATTTATTGATGGTGGCTTCCTGCCTACCTTAGTGGTAGGTCCAAATGCCTGGCTTCTATGGAAATAAAATATATTTCCTCTTTTAGTATGCCAGCTGACCTTTGCCTTATACAAGTTTTATAGTGTTCTAAGTTTCCTTTTGCCTCCTAAATTTTCTAGAGCTCTGTGGCTCTCTGGCACTCATAGACCTATGATTAATTCTTGATATACAGAATGATATACTTTTATACAATAATTAGAAGCAATTAAACCATAGTTATTTAATATGCACACAATAAGATCTAAGCTTAAAATAGTTGACATCAAAGGATAGATGGGAGAAAATAATTCATTACTATGATCTGGCACCACCATGGATTTTTCTCTCTTCTCCCCCTGCTAATTATTCTGGGAGAGTCCTTAGGGAGCTGGGAGATTATGGAGAAAGAGGTGGGGTAGAAAACAGGAAAGAAATTAAGGGGGGACAACTTATCTGTCATCATCATTTTAAAAACACGTATCTAGAATGTATTAGAAGTTTTGGTTAGTTCAGTGTTTTTGTCACATAGACATATAAAAATATATTGATTTAGTAATTACACAATTTCATTATAATGCTATTTTTATTTTGCCTTGAGTTCACCTTTCCTGATTGTATTTTTAATGGCAACTTCCACTTTCATTTCTGTAATGCTCAACAAATGCTTCTTCATTTGGTTTAATATTAACACAGGAGACTTAGTTTCATTTGTTTAGGTAACATGAGGTTATCCGTAGATTTCCAACACAATTCTCTTCTTTAAATATAACTGTCAGACTCCCATTCTGAAATGTTTTCAAATTATTACATATTTAGTTTAAATAAGGGGTACACCCTTAGTCTTACACACATGGCTATGTAAACAAATTCCTTAAGCTCTATAAAAATAAGCCAAAGAGGATTGTATTTACATATTTTTATTTTTAAAAGTATATATTTATATTATGCCTCTTTCCAAAAAGAACTTGTGGTAGCTTTCAACAAAATAAATGCATGTCAGAAGTTAATAAAGAATGAAGAAAAATGAGATTCCATAAAATAATTGGAGGAATATATGATGAAATTCAAATTTGGCTCTCAGCTCTAGGCAGATAGCATAAACTGTTCTTTTACTACTAGTGCAAGTATGCACTTAAATTTGATGAAAAGGTAACATGTGAATTAAACAGACAAAATAAATATGCAAAGCCTATCTATTGCTCAAGTCCCACACTGAGAGTTTTATTTTAATATGTATTCAACTTATAATATTTTGGCTCATATTTTGGTTTATTATTGCATTCTTTCAAACAGAAAAATAGTAAAATAATTATTGAGAAAAAATTAAAAATGAACTTTAAAACTTGCTTTGTTTTTCTTTAAAAATCGCAAGAGGACTGCAGTATAAAATACACCAGATGAAGTAGATTTTGAGTAAAGGACAAACTAATTGAATGAGACACCAGAGCATTCTGCAATTCAGAGCTATCAATGCAGGTGGCATGCCAAAATGAGCTACATAAACTGTCCTTTGCAGGGGGGTGTATTGACTGCTCTGTGTCGATCACACTCAGGAGTGATTGGTGCATCTGTTTCGTGACAATTTCTTTGTCACATGTAATGTTAGTTGTTCTTAAATAAGCTTGCATTTGTTTTGGAAAAGTAGGTATCACAGGTTAGTTTATATTCTTTTTACTTGTTACTGCCAAAAAGATCAAAAAGACTGGGTAGTAAAGAGGTTATAAAATGATTCTTTTTATTTCTTCTTCTTCTGTGTTTTACAAGTCAAGTCAGGGACTAGCATTTGATACATGGAAATTGGATTTCCCCAAGTACAGGTTGACTTTAATGGATAAAATGAAAGAATAAGCTCCCCTGAACTACTGATTTAACATAAGCCACTTTGTTTATTCATTCCAAATCAACCAAAGTTCCATAGGTCACAGGAACTTTGGAAATATGAATGGTGTAAAAACTACTTCAGAAAATAGGTAAGGGGACGGCCCGGTGGCGCACTGGATAAGTGCGCCGCTTGGGAAGCGCGGCGGCGCTCCTGCCCAAGGGTTCGGATCCCACATACAGACCGGTTCCCGCTCACTGGCTGAGCGAGG